CAGGGTGTCTGCCTCACAGACTAAAACTGGTAGTTGTTTCCACAGGAGAGGAGCCTGATAACTAAAAGATCTGCCTCCCATTCTACTTTTAGAAATTCTAGGAACCACTAGTAAACCTGGAGATTGAGAGCGAAGTGCTCTGTTAGGAACATAAGGAACAATCAGATCTCTGATATAAGATGGAGCTTGGCCATTTAAGGCTTCAAAAATAACACCAAGATTTTTTACTTTATTATCTGAAATCAGTTTAATCCCATCCAAATGAAGTGACTGACTAATCAGCTTATTTTTCAAAGACTCTGCTCCAAAGACTATGGGCCGGATCTATCAAAAAGGTTTGCGTGTATAAAAACGTGAGCTATTTCACTGCGCACGCTAAAAAATGTACAAACTGATCTATCAACAGCATGCTAAAAGGATTTGGTCTTTAAAACGTGCTAAATAGCGCCTCTTATCCATTTAGTACTTTTTCTGCAATGAATATGCAATATGGGGCGTTTACACGCAAAAGTGCGTCTTGTGGGAGGAGAACATGTAAATATATTAATTTAGCACTCGCAAAGTGATTTATTAAACCTGAAAGCAATTTTGCTAACGGTATCTGACTCTATATTTAACACGTTTCAAAAGAAGGCGCAAATGGTCTGTATGCGTAATTGCGCACACATGGCAGCGGTTATTGTCGCAAGAAGGAGGAATCGAAATGAAGCAAGGAGATGCAGAGAACGCATTTTTTCCACTCCGTGTGAATATTTTTGGAATGAACGAGGAAACGATCATCAAAACATTTCGTTAATCCAGCATTTCCATTTTGAAACTCTTGGGGGAACTCCGAATGGATTTGGAGCCAGCCACAAGGAGGACCCACGCAATACCAGATATCACAAAACTCCTTGCAACATTGCACTTTTTTGCATCTGGGTCATTCCAGCGTACGGTTGCAACGAGAGCTGGGATCTCCCAATCTCGTTTTTCAGAAGTGCTGTCCGACGGGGTCGGGGTTCTCCCCCTGCGCCTGTGGAGCAACATGCCAATGCTGCGGGGATGCATACGCACAGTAATCTCATCCACAGTCACTTCTTGTGAGCCATTTGGTACGTGCATTTTTCTACAGGCCAATACAAAACACCTGTTTGTTTTTTTTGTTTTTTTTTTTACTGCAGCGAAGTAGAAATTCAGCTACATACCACCTTAGGGAATAAAGGTTGCCAAAGTTTTTTCTTTTTATATATATATATATATATATATATATATATATTTTTTTTTTTTTTTTTTTTTTTTTTTTGTTGGGGGTCACTGTAAGATTTAAATTTCTTAATGCACTAGTTTGTACAAACTACAAACTACTTTGCCGCAAACCACCATCATTTAAATAGGGCGTCTCCAACAGTTTTGCACCTGCCACCAGTTACGCAATCACTCTTGTTAAATCACCCGCAAACCATGTTTCAGCCCCTCGCGCAAAATTCCAGTTTGCGAGCGCAAATTACTGCACGCAAAATTGGATCTTGATAAATCCGGCCCTATAACTTCTGTTTTGTCTGCATTCAGAAGCAGGAAGTTAAGAGTCATCCAGGTTTTTATGTCTTCAAGACATGCCTGTAATCTATGTAATGGGTTAGCTTAATCTGGATTTATAGACAGATATAGCTGGGTATCATCAGCATAACAGTGAAAATTAATCCCATGCTGTCTAAAAACTCTACCAATTGGGAGCATGTATAAAGTAAAGAGAATTGGTCCTAGCACTGATCCCTGTGGTACTCCTCAGGTAACCTTTGAGCGTGTTGAAGATCAGTCATTAACATGAACAAACTGAATTTGATCAGATAGATAAGATTTAAACCAGTTCCTCAGTAACTTGACATACAGCAGTTACAGCAACATGAAAGGGACATTTCATGCATGTAAATATGCTGTAGATAGAGCTGCTGTATCAACAAATCAACAAAAAGACAGGTACTCTAGGTTACATTAAAATCTCCACAAATCTGAAAAAAAAGCAACATAAAAATACATTTTGCCTCCAGTCTGAAAAAGTACAAAACATTTTGTGAGTAGGTTCATACAGGTCATTTCTGGATAGTTTCATACTATATATACAAAAAAAGAAACAATACTGCTTCATATTAAGCAGGATTTACACCAGTATCACATTTTTAACTTTACTTTTAACACTTTTGGTTTTATTAAAGGAAATATCAGATTTTCTCAGGTGCCAAAACAAAATGTAACAGCTCTGTAAAGGCTCAGCAGAGCAAAACATAAAGATGACATGACTATAACAGCTGAATGCGGCGGCGATTTCCACAGGGTTCCTACAGCATAAGGCAAGTTAAATTCAAGACTTTTTAATGCCACTTGAAATAAAAATTTAAGACCAAATTCACAAGAAACACAAGAAAAAGCAGCTTGCGACAACTTAACCCAAAGGTTTATCTTAACATAAACCACTGCACTGTTTCAAATTTTGAAAAGCTTCCCATACAGGAAGAAAGCTAAAAACACACAAATGACAGATGTATTTTAACAATTATTTACCTGAATTCACAAACTTTGTTTTAGCAGGGAACAAAACAAATCAGTTTTAAAGCCACAACATAACCAGTGCTAAGTCTTTTTTGCAGCTATTTTTCTTTGTATGGTTTTGTATAAGCACTGGCATGCTTATTTCTAAGCACAGTATACCCACTACAATAATGTAGACTACACCACTGGTGCCGATATTGGAAACATTACAGTTCATGTGCAGAAATTCTCTGTGCTTTACTTAGGCGAGAGTGTGGATCTGAGAAAGACACTTACGCAGACTTTTCTGATGGAAGCTATTATAAAACACATCCTTTGTTTTCAGCAAAAAAAGAGGCCTTACAAATTCAGATATTTTATGATGATTTTGAAACATCCAACCTTCTAAACGTGGAATTCACAAAATTGGCAGTCTTTACTTTGTTCTAAGAAACCTTCCTCCTAAATTTTGTTCAGTTTTGATGAATATTCATTTGATATCACTATTTCATGTACAAGATCTCCATAAATATAGTTTTGATGCTATTCTGGAGCCATTTCTGAAAGATCTAAAAAATCTAGAAAGCCACGGCCTTAGTCTTCCATTTTCTGATGAGCCAGTATATGGCACCATCTCCCAGATAACTGGAAATAATTTAGGAATGCACACAATTCTTGGATTTAATGAATCTTTTAGTAGTCATTACTTTAGTCGGATTTGTTTAATAGAAAAAAGCGAATGCCAGACTGTCTGCAGTGAGGATGATCCGAAGGTAATACTTAGAGGAAAGGAGATTTTTGAAATGCATTATAAATCTCTTGAAGAAAACCCACAGCTAAAGTCATTATATGGTGTGAAGAAAAAAATCGTCACTTAATTCATTGCAATATTTTCATGTTTCTGACGACCATTCATTTGATATAATGCATGATCTTCTTGAGGGTGTTATTCAGTATGAGATCAAATTACTTTTTGAATTTCAAAACTTACTCAAAGACTTACTCTCCAGGATTTATAGTTTTGATTATGGCTATTTAGAAAGGAAAAACCGTCCCACAAAAATTATTTTGGAAAGTTCTGGAAATGGCATAGGTTTAAATTATGTTCAGATATTGTGTCTTGTAAAATATGTTCTACTTTTTTAGGGACATTATTCCTAGAGGAGACAAAAACTGGTACATGCTACTGTTGTTGCTGGAAATAATGAACATTGTCTTCTCTCCTATCCTTACAATAGGTATGACAATATATTTGAAGCATTTGATTGTTGAGCACCAGACTGTTTAAATTCTTATACCCGCATAGAAACTTGATACCTAAGCATCATTTTATGATCCACTACCCATCTTCTATTAGGAAAATAGGCCCATTGTTACATATGTGGTCTATGAGGTTTGAAGCCAAAAATAAAATGTTTTAAGATTATTTTAAAAACCTCAAAAATATAACAAAGTCCCTTGCTAAAAAGCATCAGATGGCCATAGCTCATCATTTGGAGACAATACCTATTAAACAAAATGAGCACGGGCCTGTCAAACCTTTTTTACTTAAAGACGAAGATTTGGTGAGTAATGAAATGCTTCAAATAATTTCATCAAAAGATGTTTGTTCAACTAGCTGGGTTAAAGTTGATGGTATTGAGTACAGACCTGGACTTGTTGTTTGTCGTACAAATGCAAGAGGAAATGCCAGGGTTTTGTCAGATAAGTGATATACTTTTAGTTGACAACACTTTTCTTTTGTTATCTAAACAATTATACACAGAGAGTAAAAGGGAGTTTTTCCTCTCCACTGTCGCTACAAGCATGCTGAGTGTGAGGGATTGTATTTGAGTCAATGAGTCAATGCAATCAACTGGTTTTCCTTAGATAGAAAACTTTGAATCAATTTGACTGGATGATCTGGTTGAACTGTAAAGTGCCTTGAGATTGCATGTGTTGTGAATTTGGCACTATATAAATAAACTGAATTGAATTGAACTACCCACCTCTGCCAGTGAAGGTATTGACACAACACATGTTTCTGAAGGTCTAACAGGAGTTCCTGTTCCCTCCATACCTGCGAGGGGTCTTTGCAGGAACCCAAAAATATGTATAAAAGGTTAGCTGGTCTCTCTAAATTGCCCTTAGGAGTAAATATGGGAGTTCGTGGTACAGTAGTAGCCATTCAAAATGTCCCCACTTTCCTTGATGGGCCCTTGCCTGGTCCCCTACAATTCCTTTTATAAAATCGTGGGGAAATCATATTTAAACGTCAAATCATTCTGGCTTGAACTTGTATATAATTGTATTCTTTATCAGACCATATTGTCCCAAAAGTTAGATCATCCATCCATCCGTCCATTATCTGACACGCTTGTCCCTAGCTTTTTTTTTTACTGTGGGAAGAAGCCGGAGTACCCGGAGAGAACCCACGCATGCTCAGGGAGAACATGCAAACAATATACAATTTTTGTCTTCTACGAGTTCCTTTGAAAGTTCCTCTATTTTTTTTATTTTTTATTTTTCATTCAGATTATTGTCAAACTCTTTTTTTCCCCTTCAAGCTGTTCTCAAAGCTTTGGGAAAACACAAGCATAATATTCAGGTTTGCATATGTGTGGTTGGACTTTAGTCCGTGTTGTTATGTGTTTGTCTTCTGTCCTCTCTGGTTTCTCTGTCTGTGGCTTTCGTTTCACTGTCTGTGGCTTTCGTTTCACTGTCTTTGGCTTTCGTTTTTCTGCATGTGGATTTCGTTTTTCTGCATGTGGGTTTCGTTTTTCTGCATGTGGGTTTCGTTTCACTGCCTGTGGGTGTCGTTTCGCTGCCTATGGGTGTCGTTTCGATGCCAATGGAGTTCCATCTCTCGATTAAATCTTGAGGTTCTATTATATGAACTGCACAAGTCTGTGTCATCACATTCTCTTTGTTACTATCCAGATTTCTTATTACCTTATCAAGCCTATACTGCATGATTTTCTCTTGTTCAAGTTCACGGGTCTTTTCTTTAATCTCCTTGTGCTTTTTAGACATGTTAAGCTTCTGCTCCTTTTCAAATAGGATTTGAGTCAATGAGTCAATGCAATCAACTGGTTTTCCTTAGATAGAAAACTTTGAATCAATTTGACTGGATGATCTGGTTGAACTGTAAAGTGCCTTGAGATTGCATGTGTTGTGAATTTGGCGCTATATAAATAAACTGAATTGAATTGAACTACCCACCTCTGCCAGTGAAGGTATTGACACAACACAGTGACATGTTTCTGAAGGTCTAACAGGAGTTCCTGTTCCCTCCATACCTGTGAGGGGTCTTTGCAGGAACCCAAAAATATGTATAAAAGGTTAGCTGGTCTCTCTAAATTGCCCTTAGGAGTAAATATGGGAGTTCGTGGTACAGTAGTAGCCATTCAAAATGTCCCCACTTTCCTTGATGGGCCCTTGCCTGGTCCCCTACAATTCCTTTTATAAAATCGTGGGGAAGTCATATTTAAATGTCAAATCATTCTGGCTTGAACTTGTATATAATTGTATTCTTTATCAGACGATATTGTCCCAAAAGTTAGATCATCCATCCATCCGTCCATTATCTGACACGCTTGTCCCTAGCTTTTTTTTTTTACTGTGGGAAGAAGCCGGAGTACCCGGAGAGAACCCACGCATGCTCAGGGAGAACATGCAAACAATATACAATTTTTGTCTTCTACGAGTTCCTTTGAAAGTTCCTCTATTTTTTTTATTTTTCATTCAGATTATTGTCAAACTCTTTTTTTCCCCCTTCAAGCTGTTCTCAAAGCTTTGGGAAAACACAAGCATAATATTCAGGTTTGCATATGTGTGGTTGGACTTTAGTCCGTGTTGTTATGTGTTTGTCTTCCGTCCTCTCTCTGGTTTCTCTGTCTGTGGCTTTCGTTTCTCTGTCTGTGGCTTTTGTTTCACTGTCTGTGGCTTTCGTTTCACTGTCTTTGGCTTTCGTTTTTCTGCATGTGGCTTTCGTTTCGCTGCCTGTGGGTGTCGTTTCGCTGCCTGTGGGTGTCGTTTCGCTGCCTCTGAGCTTCATTTCGATGCCAATGTAGTTCAATCTCTCGATTAAATCTTGAGGTTCTATTACATAAACTGCATCAGTCTGTGTCATCACATTCTCTTTGTTACTATCCAGATTTCTTATTACCTTATCAAGCCTATACTGCATGATTTTCCCTTGTTCAAGTTCACGGGTCTTTTCTTTAATCTCCTTGTGCTTTTTAGACATGTTAAGCTTATGCTCCTTTTCAAATGTTCCATAGTCTTTTATCCTCTGTTTGTATTCAAGTATTTTTTCGTGTAAGGAATGTTCTTTTTCCTTGAGATCTTCTTTGTTGTCGAGAGCATTCTCTAAAGTCTCCGATTCGTAACTTTTAGGTTTATCTACATTTTCTGTATTTTCGTTTTCCTGAGGATCTAACTTTTTTGGGGTTTTGCCACGTGGCTTTAACTGCTTTTTTAAACGTCTCTGATCCTTCACCCTCTTATATAGTACCATCAGCTGTTTTACTTCGTTAATGCAGTTTTCATTGAGTTTTTTATTCTCTTCCCTCTCTTCCTCTATGCTTTGAATCTCTTCCGTTAAGGTTTTAATTTCCCCTTCAATCTTTTTTATAGTGGTGATGGAATCTCTTCCTGAAAAGTACAATTGTCTCTCTTCTTCTAATTTCTTTTTATCTTCTGCCCATTCCTTTAAAAGTTGTGCTATTTTTTCATCTTTTTCACACAGATTTTTTTGAAAGTCACTATCTTGCCTAATAAGCTGTTCTTTTAGCTTTTTGATCACAACATTCTGCCGTCTTTCGTCGGTTTTGTTTTGAATTAATTCCAGCGCTTTAATTTTTCTCTCAAGTTTATCGTTCTTGTTTTTTTCTTCTGAAAGTTCAGCTTTGTTTTGGTTGAGCTCACTGGTCTTTTTAGAAAGATTTAACTTAAGCTTCTCTTGGGCATCTCTAAGTTTTTCAATCTCCTCTTTGTATTTAAGTCTTTCTTTGTTCATGCTTGTTTTTTCAAGCATTGCCTCCTGAATATTATTCTCTAAATTAGCTTGAAGCATTGTGTAACTATTTTCAAGTTCATGAACATTACGTTCTCTTAACCGAACATATAACAAATTTTTACTTTCTTTACAATTCTTTAACTGCCTTTCTGAATGTATTTTCTCGTTCTCCAAAGTTCTGTTCTTGCCGGCGAGGCCTTTCACCTCAATTTGAAGTTGTTTGACTTGCCTGCTTGATTCCTCTAATTTGCGAGTAAATACGGCAAGTTCGTTGTGTGCCTCTAAAAGCATTGAAATCAATTCATCTCTAGAGTACCGTGCCATTGGCGCCCTCGATGATTTTGTATTTCTTGCCATTTTGGTCTTACCTGTGTCTTGGGAAAGTTACAAAGAAAATTTGACCTTAATTCCTTCACGTAACCTGGAAAAAACTTCAGGAAAAGTAGCCTGCAATCCTTCACGTAACCTGGAAAATATGTTAGGAAAAGTAGCCTGCAATCCTTCACGTAAGCTGGAAAATATGTTAGGAAAAGTAGCCTGCAACCTTCACTTAACCTGGAAATAAGAAAATGAGACTATGTCCAGGATACCACCCAGCTGTGTTCTATTTTTAGAATGTGACTGATGACATCATCAGCTCTCTATTTTTAGTCTCACAGCCAGGCATCATTCAAACTGACCAACTGAAAAATAATGTAGCCACACCCATCAGCCACAACTCATGGGTGTGGCTTAGCTCTGTGTTTCAGGGGGACATAAAATCAAACCTTTCTTAAAACCGTATAGGTCAAATAAAAATAAAAAAATCAAAGAGGACCTTCACTTTTGGAATTAATTGAATTTTTTTTTTTATACCTAACTTGTGATTTTTTTTTGTCACTGTTATGAAGATGCAGCAAACCATTGGGGTTTACATTTAAATGCACCAGTTTACTCCGCCATCAAGCGCAGTGTTACAACTACAGCCTCCGCTGTTCCTCCCGTATTGCAGCGCTCTGAGCTCGAGGAGAGCATGCACAATATTATCATTAAATTCATAGGAGCAAAACCTGGAGAAATGAACACTTAATTTAATATGAAAGATTAAAAAAAATCCCCATCAGCATCCAGTAGATGTGAGGTTTCTGATAGAGATGAGAAACCTGCTTTGTGGTCTGTTGAAGCACCAATATTTTGCATCCAATCATTTAAATAAACAGTGTTAGTTTTTTGAAATATAAAGGAATTATGTTCTAATTTGTAGATACCAATCTGTTGTTACTATACTTTAATTTGACAAACCGGATCTTCTCGCCGTTCTTTTTCCTGTTTGGTGCGATTGCAGTAGCGGATCTTGACCTGGCCGGACCGAAGCAGAGCCTGAACATTTAGTATGTTTGGCTCAACCTGCTGCTGTGAAGCAGGATTCTCCACCATGAAAAGAATCAAAAATAAATATGGTTCCAGGCTCAGAATGAGCACCTTGATATGTGCTTTAGAATGGCTTAGTCTCCATTCAAACCCAGGTTTAAAGCCCTGCAGGGCAGCCTAAAGCCCACTGCTCTCATTAAGACAGAAAAAAGAAAGAAAAAATAACAAACAGTCAATTCAGGTGTTTTTAAAAATATGTGAATCAGGAAATTGTCTATGTACCAAACTGAAAGATTGTTGTTCTCTACAAAAAAAAAAAAACACTTTAAATTTAAAAATGGAATATATATATATATATATATATATATATATATATATATATATATATATATATATATATATATATGTATTTTTATATTTTTTCAAAATTCAATGTGTAACATGGAAGCATAAAATTCATTTTATTTCAGTGTTACATTCTGTGTAAAGTAACAGATCATTAAAAATGTCTCCAGACCTTTACTGGTAGATAATTTTCTTTATTCAGACCCCACTAATTTTTAATTGGTTACCCCTGATTTAATGTTTATAAATATTTATTTCACATCATGTGCTCCGTCCAATGCAGATCATTGGCGCCATCCACATCTAGTGAAAACTAGTGTAATTGGATGAGTCATCTAACGCAAACACTCATTGGTTAGCTAAAGGAAATCATCAGAAGCAAGCAGGTGTTCTTCAAACTGCAAACGTGAATTGTCTATGCCATGTAACAATGTAGGATTCAGAAAAATTATTATCAGAAATGTCTGAAAGGTTGGACACAGGCGAGAGCGTATCGGGAGACACAGACCAACAAGACCTCCCTCATCCTCGGCCCTATCTCTAAGAATTTTTAGAAATAGTCGAAAAATTAAGCTTTCAATTCATATAGTGACATCTACTATACTTTAAGTAGTTTTTGGAGCACATACTTTTCATTTTTACTTGAGTAAAGAGTCAATTTGATACTTCAACTTTTACCAGAATGCTTTTAAACTGCACAGCAAATTTTGCAGTTTTAAATCAACACTTATAGACTTAAATTTAACACTATATCCGAGTGTATTTGGTCCTTATCAAAATAGTGTTGAATTAACTCTGTTGAAATTTCAGAGTGAAATTAACTCAGAATTGAGTTAAAATTTAACACTGGTTTACACTGTATTGTGTTAATAGAACTTAACACTGTAGGTTATTAACACTGGAGAGAGTTAAAATGATTCTCAGGAGTGTTGAAGAGTTACACTATTGGGGTGACAAATCAACTCTGATACAGATACTTTTTAACCTTGCACTGAGTTAATGGAGGTGAACACTGAAGACTCATAACTGTGTTAACTGTTCACTATTAATGTCTTGATTTACACCGTTGCAGTGAAAAAAACCCAACTCAAATTGAGTCAAATCCTAAAAGCCATTAACACTGTACAGATAAATATTTACACTTTTGTAGTGTTAAATTGCATCTATTACACTTTTTATAAATATCATTGAATAAAAACAAGTTATTGCAAAAATACATTTCAGAAATTTTATTTCACAAAAGCATGTTAGAAAAATATTTAATTTGGCATTTTTAACCATTACAAACATACTCCAGAAACCATTTACATATGCAGCATTTAAAGGAGAAAAAAAAAATGAAGTCATGCAATAGGTGTACCTGCCGTGCCAGGTATCCTAATGCAACTTGTTTGCATGCACATAAACGTTTGGATGCACAAGACAATGTAACAGGTCATAACAGTGTACCACTTAGCGGCACTGGCCCCAGGCCTACATAAAATGACAATATGGAACAACATATAAGGCCATATGTCCTATACTTCATTTGAAGAGTGAACAATAAGAAGTAAAAGATAATTTATGTGCAAAACTCTCCATAAAACTGTTCATATGCAGCATTTAAAAAAAGAAAAAAAAGTGAATTGACATGCAATAGGTGTACCTGCCGTGCCAGGTATCCTCATGCAACGCATTCATATGCACAAAAATGTGTGCCTGCTGCTCCATTACTGGGCCCCTGATAAACAGCTTAAATGAAGTTGAACACGAACACTTAAGAAAACTGACCCTAGGTCTGCATAAAATGACAATATGGAACAACATATAGGGCGTTATCTGTTGTACCATACTTCATTTGAAGATCAAACGGTTTAAAGTAAAATAACTCACTTATGTGCAACACTTTTAAAACATTATCTGGATGCAGCCTGACCTTAAAGGCATGGTAATGATTATCAAAACACAAGGTTTCCATCAGTTTTCCACAGAGCAAAACACAGTCATCTTTTACAGCAATCACGTCAATCTTACAAAAAACAGGCATCTCATCTGTTACTTCAGTACATATAAGAAAGTCACGACGGTATTCTGTACCGTGATATTTGATCCATTTGGCAGAAAATACACTGGTTGACAAAACTGTTCCAAATGTTGCAGCAATTGCTGTGCCCTGTTTTAACTCATTAAGAGTCACCATCTTTCCTGGACCTAAAGTTAATTTTTCCTTGCCAAAAGATTCACGAAACAGTGCCATATAACTTTGGTGCTTTTTTGCTAATGTCTTTGTAATGTTTTTAAAACTCTTTAGTTGTTGTTTGAAGAAATTATGTTTAGCTTCGTAACGCATGCACCATGTGTGTAAAATGGGACCGATTTTCCTTATGCTACGAGGGTAATGTATCATGAAATGATGCTTTGGCAAGAGATTTATTTCAGGAAATATGTGCTTGAACAACTGATGATGATTGATGATTAAATGTTTGAGGTATATGGTCATGCCCTCTGACAGGACTGGAGAAAATACAATATTGACAATCTGTGAAAGCAAAATTAAAAGATCCCAATGTTTGTCATCTGTTTCAATCAAATCACCAAATAACAAAGACATATTGCGTAATAAGCACCAAGATTGTATGGCATTTAGTCCCAGGTCATTACTACCATCCCTTAACTTATCTGTTGGCAGAAGTGGACGGTTTCGCTGCTGGCTGAAACCATAATCATATGCATGTATTCTACCAGCCACTTGTTCAGCACTTAGAAAGTTACTTTGAATGTACTTCAGAATCAGTTTCGCCTCAAACTGACCAACCCCCTCTAAAATATCATGCATTATATCAACAGAGAAGTTGTTGGCTGTGTTGAAATATTGAAGTGAATTCAAAAGACAAATGCGCTTCACACCATATACATGAGGCAGCCTTGGGTCTGTTTGTACAGTCTGACAGTGCTGTGAATGTGTATTGATAGCTCTGAAGACAACTTCCGGATCATCTTCACAGAATACAGTTTGAAAACGGTGTTTTTCAAGGAGACAAAAACGACAACAATATCGAGCCCCAAATGATTCAACAAAGCCAAACAGGCCATGTAAACCAAGATTGTCCCGAGTAACCTGAACCAAAGTACCACGAATCTTGTGTTCAACATTTGGAATTTGAAGTCCCTCTGTCTCAAGCACTTTCAGATCACAAACAAGTGGTTCAAGTATCAAATTAAAACTGTATCGCTTGATATCCTGTGCATGGAATAGAGAACACAAATGAATATTGTTTAAAGATGAATTAAAAATTGGGGGGAAATTTCTTAAAGTAAAATATATAGCGCCTAATTTATGCAAACCCATTTGGATCCCAAGACATTTGCAGTTTCAAAATCATCATAAAAAAGCTGAATCTGCAAGGCATCGTTTTCTATTGAGAATAGGGGACTTTCTTTAAAATAAGTGGCATCTCTCAAGTCTGCATACACACCTTCCCTGGGAATATACCTGGGCTTGAACATTTCTGCAGTATCACCTTCTTGTAAAATACTCTTCAGTGTTTCCAAAATGGGAATATATGCAAATGTATCAGTTACAATGACTTGATCATATGTCCCAGTAGTTTTGTTTCTCCTGCTGTCAAATCTTGTGCCAAGCACTTTTTGAACAGGCTCAGAAAGTCCCCATTTTTCTCGTAAATGTTTGTTTAGTTTTGCTTCTGAATTTAAAGGTGTAAATGGATTTTCTAATACTTGGAAGGACTGTTCAATTTTGTTTCTTTGTTCTTCATCCTGTGGAGACAAGCACTGTAAAGCTAAATCCTTAGCCTGGCTGTGGATTTCAAAAATGACTTCTTCCATGGCTGACACAAACCTCGCAACATTAGACTGACTTAATCCAGCTGCTTTTACTTGTGCAATAGCAGTAGTACACATATCTGTAGTGCTGATATTTGACCTGGTCAGCAGAGTACCGGTAGATGTTGTGGCCGACTCTACATTAGTTGTCACCAGCTCTCCTGCATCACCGAGGTCTGCTCTGCTTGAACTGACGTTAACTTCTTGATTAGTATTGTCAGTGTGCTTGGCATTTAAATGTTTTCTAAACCCAGAAAATATTCCAAGCACACGGCCACATCGAGTCTGAGAACATTTAAGACGAAGATTTTTTCCATCCAAGTAACCATGAACTACTCGTAAATGCCTAACAGGAGTATTCACAGAAGGTAATTCAGACTGACAGACAAAATACTTCATGACTGAACAGATCCATTCGAGTACTAATGAAGCAACCGAGCCCGAACTTCAGCCACACGAGGACTCTCCTTGACTTTGCCAACATCTATGTTGCACACAGTGGTCTGGATGAACGTGAACATGTTGTACAGCATCGGGTGGTATGTTGTTGCAAAAACATAATGCGCTTTAAACAGTTTTCAAAGGCACCAATTGAGGAGGCCGACCTGTAAGCGATGGCACTTTTGTCAAGTATGATGAAAAACTGGTGGGCTGCTTTTCTACTTCGTCCTATAGCCAGGAGGTAGGGCTGTGTGCTTGTTGTGATAGAATCCAGATGTTCTTGGATACTGGTTCCTGACTGACAAAAGAAAAACACAAAACAAAGTATTACAATTACATGGTGGCAATATTACACAAATAAATAATAAATTAACAAGTTTTTTTGTTTATGTATAGCGTTTAACTGTATGTGATCATGAGTAAAACCAAGGCTCCCTCAGTGAAACGTCGTTGAATAAAATAGATAAATAAAAAACAAAAAATACAAACCTTCTTGAAGACTAACAGATGCTTCTCTGCTTGGGAAGCAGACACCTTTCCTGGTCTCTTGCGGCCTTGGGCAGAGGGGGGAATCAGGTGTAACAGCAGCAAAATTGATGCGAGGTCACTGTCCCAACCTGTAATCACACAAATTTGATGTTAAGTAGAAAATCAGCAAATTTTAGTTATTCTGCTATTTCAATATTTTCCCTTTCAACAAAATACAAGGCAGCAGGTGTATATGATCATCAGTTCTGTTTCTACTGAGCTATTTTATATTTAAAACTTTCACTACTCCTAACACATAAAACATTTTTGAAGCATTTCACATTTGAATAAATCTATTGCACCTCAGGGCAACAGTAGCTGTGCTGCTCATACACAGCACTACTATAAAAATGTGCTAACCAAAAGGCACTGCAAATATGCTTTTCTTATTTTGTTATTGTCCCACAGTGTAAGAAAATGTGTTAGAAGCTTAACTTGTGTTGTAAATGAATTATTCAATATTTATATGAAGTATAGGACATACTAGGGCTGGGCGATATAGAAAAAAAGCTTATCGATAAAAAAAAATGCATATTGATCGATATCGATAATTATTGAAAAGATTTGAAACCATATTTTATGTGCAGCTCTGCCTGGACTTTTTATAATATTGCTAAATGATTTAATTTTAATAAAAAACACAAACACAGACTTCGAATTAAATCTTTATTTAACCAACTTTTTTAACCATGACAGAATTGTTTTAAAGAAAAATAACTTAAGAGACCTGAGTAATGTTATTAAATACTGACAAAGAATAAACTAAAGTGACCAGAAAAGTGACCAAAAGAAATATAACAAATAAATAAATGCCCCCCCCACTGCCGCCGCCGCCCCTGTTTCCTGCTTTAACCTGAGTTATTACTTTGAAGTTTCTGGCCCCTCAGCATTTTTCTCTCAATTGTTAGAACTACGTGGGAAACTGCCCAGAACTGAAAATATATATATTTTTTCCGAAGATTCCTCGGAGGAGAGCCGCGTCGGGGCCTACACAGCTCGTACTCCTGCGGCTGTGATGACAAAAAAAAAAAAAAAAAAAGTTGGTTGTGTTATCAGACTTCGTTTTCACTGGTTCCCGACACATTTTCCAGATGACTGGTTTGTTTTTGGTCCAACTTGCCATGACCGAAATACTGCCAGACTGCCGAACTACAAAAACCCTTCTTTGGAACAATTTCCTCCGCCTCTCCTTGCTGCACATCTTCATGTGCTCTGTGTTGTGGTTTGAGAGGGCGGCGCTTGGTGACGGCGTGCCTGGGTCCGCGATTGTGATTGGTTGGGAGGAAGCAGTGACTAGCATAAAGCTACATGCTAGGCTACAATGAGAAGGAAGGAAAACTGTGTTTCTTTTTTATCGAACTTTTATCGACCCTCTTTTTTTCTATTGCGCCACACGTCTATCGATCGATATATATCGTTATTGAATTATCGCCCAGCCCTAGGACATACAGCCCCCGAATTGCCTTACTTAACTCTTACATGCGCTATGGTTAAACACACAAGTCTAAGTGGAATGTGGAAAAAGTCACGCTTACCAATGTTGTCATCCACTTCAGTGCCATCCTCTGGAGTGTCAGCTGCCAGGAGGAGATCTTCAAGCTCTCTGGTGGATGGAAGCTTTCTGCATTGTTGGATGATCTTTTTCTTGAATGCGGTTGTCCATTTCTCCAGAAACTTCCCAGAGACATCTTCCCCAAACATCAGAACAAAATCCTGTTCCACCTAGAGTATGGATAAAAAAGAACTAAGATTTCACAGCCCAACAAGTTACGTTCATTGTTGACTGCCAGTAAAATATACATATCCTTTTTAAAAATGTCAATCAGAAATATTTACCAAGCCTTTGACATCCTTGAACCGTGGAAAGACAGACAGTATGTTGCTTGACTGCTGTGGGTCGAGGACCATGTTGCGGAGGCAGTCAAATGTCAGCTTCATCTTTTTCTTGATGGTGTCCTCATCAGCTGAATGTTTCATCAATGCGACAGCTTCCTTACACTAATCTTCACTCAGGACAATCTCTGGGACAAACTGGGGCTCTCGTCTGGCAGCTGGTCCTCCAGGTCCATCTTCATGAGATGCTCCTGCAGATGATGCTACATATACAAAAAACAAGATAATCATATAAAGATAAGAAAAAAAAAAACTCTGACCAAAGAAAAGTTTTCAGAATTCATTTAGTGTTACTTCCATATGATGATCGACGTTCTTGGCAGCAGATCTCTGAATAGTTTTAATTCTCCAGGCCAGGTACCCAGACCCACTTTCACCATCATAATAATGCTCCTTTAATGATAAACAAGAATAAACATAGTCCGTTAATTAGATTGAATGTGCTTCCCATTTGATTTTGACATAACAAAAAAAGTGTGTTATTTGAATCTACCACCTCCCACTTCTGCACCCTCATCCTTCATATAACCCCACCTACATAAAAAAAGTGATGCAGGAAATAATAAAAAAAACTTGCAACTTAAAAAGTTATGTATGCAGAGCAATTTTATTACTCAAAAGGAAAGTAGCTATTGAAATATACTGTTAGAAATCAAAATGTTTCAGTTTACCATTTGACACTATCACAGCCATTATATTGTCTACCGGTATATTACATTGACTTACAGAGCCAGTCCTAGAGAATGGATCACTGAGGTGGGGAAACAAGCTCACAATACCTCTGGCATACATTTCTTTTACCTGTCTGGGTGGTGATGTACTGCAACATTGAAATGAGAAAAAAAAAATATATATGTCTTGGTTGTATGCACTGATTTTAATGAAAGTTTTACTGAGCTAAACAGAAAGGATTGACAAATTACCCATTCTTCTCCGTTATGTCAGCCGCTAGTATGTTCACCATTTTCCTTCTGGTTTCATCTGTCAAGGACTTGTTTCGATTATATTCATTTATAATGATTTCCCCACCTGGCTTCTTGGTCAAAATGGTTTCTACCAACTATAAGCAAAGAGGAAGAAAAAAGGGATAGTACACCCACAGAATGATGTACCTTTATATTCTCCTCACCCTCATACTAAGCAGGACTCTGGAACACGTTTTTAATGTCTCAAATGCAGCCGGAAATTCAAAATTGTCTCCGATCTCTGGCTGCATTTGAATATTAAAAAAGTGTTTCAGAGTCTTGCTCAGCATGAGGGCGAGCAGAAAATGAAGGCACATCATTCTGTGGGTGTACTTATCTTTTAAGAATACATCATAAAGACATATGAACCGAATGGTTATTAAAATGCCACTTTAACGGGAAAAAAAAAAACACCACCACCACTTTGAAGACCTAACACTGTTTTACTATATTAATGTCCAGCCTCTGCCGTTTACTGGAAGGACTCTCTGAAAGGATGATTGTGTCTTGAGAATCAGACGAATTGAGGGATGATGGTTCCGATTGCTCAGGAGACACCATAGAAACAGATTCTGTTCATGACAGGAGCAGATTGAAGGAAAAATGTTTATCACACTAAACTTGTATTTTATTCAATACGGTAATATAAATTACATACAGTATGCAACTGAGACAAACCCGTGTCAAGTTTGATGGTTAGCACTCCAGTTGAGGGATCCTTAATTACATCCTCAAATACATCATCATCCAACTTAGTTCCCGAAGTGTCAAAAACTTTCACATCTTCTGTCAGAGCTGGCACACCAAACTTTGCAAATGCTATAGGAAGACAAATACCTATGTCAATCAAACTTATAAATATTTTTCTAATGCTCACAAAAATCCAATAAATCTTTTATGAGGAGAGACACTCTTTCTATGGAGGATAAAAAGCCAAAATTAAATAAATAAATAAATACAGTATTAAATATTTAAATGTGTCAATAATTAATTAAATGTGGAATTAAATATAAAGTGCCACAATTAAATAAATAAATACAGCGATAAACAATTAAATGTGTAATTCATTAAATAAATAAGGAATTAAATATATTAATGTGTCATTAATTTAATAAAATACGTCTTCATTTTATTTAAAAAATATATATATAATTATTTCAGTGTGCATTTAATGATTTCATGGTCCTGTGTCGCAGTGCGTCAAAATCATAAAAAGAATCTGTCAAACTCACCCATCAAAGTTAGGTAACCTGGAACTGTTACATTTCTTCTGCCTATACGCTTTCTATTGTTTTACGTCCTAGTCACGTGACTTTCAAGATTCCAGCTGGGAGAAGAAAAAATATATATATGGCCGACATTCGCTCATTTTTTTGTGAAAAGATTAATGACTTGAGTTTGTTTTTGCATTAAAATGAGTTTTGATTACATTTCTAGTGAGAAATGTATAGTTTGTTGCCAGAATATTTACCCAGGGAATGTACATATTCACTTGCTTGTTCATTTCTTGCAAAGATTTTTCAAGATAATGTGAAACTAACATTTTGGTATAAACATGGCTGAGATTTCTCTAACTTTTAGTGGGAAAATAAATAATTTCAATCAGTTTCTGCATTTAAATGGGTTTTGATTACATTTATAGCGAGAAGTGTAGGGTTTATTTACATAATATTTACTTAGTGAACATACATAATCACCCGCTTGCTAGTTTTTGCTACGGTTTTTCGGATCTCGTCAGGATTATCTGAAATTGCAACGTTTTGGCTGCTACCCATCGCCTAGCATTTAGCTGCCCCCCCGATTCAACATTGAATTCTTTGTGATTTAACCCCATCTGACGGATCAAACCCTCGCCACTGCATGCGTTGCGTCTGAGGTTGATTTTCAGATCAGTGCATTACGTCGTTAGCCTGACGTAGTCCTACTCAATTCTAGTCAGAATATGAGTCTGATACTGCTCCATAGAGCTGTGATTATGGGGCGTGTTTTGAACAAACCAGGAAAAAAAATGCCTCTGCACTCAATTGGACAGACGTACAACCAATAAGAGCAACGGAGTGCGTGACGTATGTTAAGCAACGCATAGTTGTTGTCAGGTGCGCGAGACACTTTTTCCACCTGGATCCCCGCACTTTTTGGCCCTGGTGTCCCTCCGTTGTTGCACAAACATGCCCCCACTTCTTCTCCGCCTCTGCCGTATCTAGACCCACAGCTAGTTCATGATTGTCCATCTTGCGTTGTGGCCAAACCAGTAGTTATCCTCCTATGATTTGTAAAATTTAGATAAGGAAAAATACCATCCAAGCTTTGTGCAAAGTGTGATTTATTGGTATTTTTTAATAAAAAATAAATGATTTGCATCTAATTTTGTCAGGATTCCTATCTGTGTGTGTGTTTTTCTGTGTTTGTCTCCCTTCCTCCACCAGGAGGCGCCTGGTTCTGGTCCGCCTCCCTACACACCTGCAGAGAGTTACCTCATTAACAGAGTGCTCTTAAGCTGCTGATTGCCACTACCTCGACGCCAGAGTGTTTGCCAGTTTTGGGTACTCTAGCCAAGCTGAGTTTTTGCTGATTTAAACTGAGTTCCTGCACACTGGATGTTTCGGACCTTCTCTCCCTGGAAGTATCATCTGAGCTTCAAACTGAGTTGAGGATTCAAACTGGAGGTTTGAATCCACTTTCCCTCAAGAGATTGTTCTAGCTTCACACTGAGTAAGGGATTCATCTCCACTATTACCTGTTCAAGTACCGCAGGAAATCTGAGTGGTAGCTAGCTTCTCCATTCGCCGACAACAACCGCATTCTCGGTAAACCCTGTCCACCCTCCACCGAATCAGACAAACACTGGAACTTCCGCACACAGACTGGAGTCTAAGAGTCAGCTACTTCTCTGGAAACGTGAGTCAATTACCAAATTCTCCTCTTCAAAGTCGAGAATCAAATTTCCCACTGAGCCTGAACTAACTGCAGTGTCTTCCCCTCACCTTTCAGTTCCGGTTGAGCAGAGCAACACCGGAATCTTCACAATCTCCTAAATAAACCCGTAAGGTCTCTCTGAATTGGTTTCTCTGCATGTGGAGAGCTCTTGATAAAATCATGACAAGTTTCCTTCATATTGAAGCATTGATTCAAATAATTTCTACCACTGGTCTATCCGTGCCTGGTGTCCGTCTCCAGCAAGGTGAAAGGTAGTGTACATCCTTTGACAGGTCACCAGTTCATTACAGGATGACACACACATGCAACATTGTAATTAATGCAATATAGAGACACCCATTAACGTAACAGTCATATTTGTAAGATAGTGGTGCAATGCTGCATTTACCCAAACACAAAGCTTTGGATTAATTCCTCTCCACTCTAACATGGTGTAATAACACTCAATTAATTTATACTTATCTATTTAACGAACCAGAAACGCTCTTTACCTGCCACCACTTTATTCTACCTAAGATACTGTGTATATTCCAAAAAATAAAAACAGTCCACTGGACTTTGTTTCCAAGTTTGAAGACGCTTCTTCTTTGAAACAAAGTCAAGTGGATTTTTTTTAATTTTCTGTTTTTGGAATGACTATGACCCGGATGACTGAGAATCTTAACCAGCGTACTGTATATGAATTAGTCAACTTAAATCTCTCCTTTATTTTTTACCATCCACTGTACACTACTGTTCAGGTTTTGGGTCACCCAAGCAATTTTGTGTTTTCCTGAAAAGTCACACTTGTTCACCACCATACGTTGTGAAATGAATAGAAAATAGAGTCAAGACGTTGACAAGGTTGGAAATAATGACTTGTATTTGACAGAAGATTTTTTTTTTTTACATCAAACTTTGCTTTCGTCAAAGAATCCTTCATTTGCAGCAATTACAGCATTGCATACCTTTGGCATTCTAGCTGTTAATTTGTTGAGGTAATCTGGAGAAATTGAATCACACGCTTCCAGAAGCAGCTCTCACTAGTTGGATTGGTTGGATGGGCACTTCTTGCATATGTAAGCCACTATTAGTCAGAGACTTATTTTTTCAGGCCCACTTCCTGTGTTGCCCAAATGAATTAGCTTCTTTAAAGCCCCACCTCAAGCATGCAGTTCAGGAACCTCAGCTGTTTCCACTGTGATTGTGGCTGCTGGTGTCTTCTCCACGTGTTCATCTGAAATCTTTAACCCTATTGGTCTGATTGCTGGAATCATTGGCGTTGTTTATCTGGACCATCCCTGGGATTCTGCCAGAGCTGTTTTGGCTCAGTAAAACCCCACTCTCTTTGAAAAGGTTGGGTTTTTTTCTTTTCCCGCTTTGGATCAGATCCTCATCTGGATCTGAAGATGGCGAGCTAGTAATGGACTATGGACTTTATGATTTGGAAGTTAAAGGAGAATTCCGGTTTTTAACACTTTTAGCCCATTTTCTGTAGTGTCCAGGATGAAATCGAATGATCGACACCAAAATTTTGACAATTGGTCCTGTCTCTGCTTTTTGGCTCATGCAGAATCCCCCCCTGGCTGCTTCAGAATGGCTTCCATAGTGCATGTCCGATAATGTCCTTAAAACAACCTTAAACGTTCTTTTTTTAAAATATGCTACTCACCGGGTCATCAGCGCTGTTCAATGACGTTCCAAAAAAAAGTTTCGTAAAGAAAAAACGTTCCTGTAGTGTTTTATTTAGCATTTTGTAAATCCCATTGAGTTCTGTTGGAATAGTCAATATCCCTCCGCCACCGGAAACGGAAATGGGGCCTGTTTACACATAGTTGTAGTCTTTTCGCTTCACTCTGTGTACTTCGACGTCGAGGTGCTAACGTCTCTGTTAAACACTTTAAAAAACTCTGAAAATGGAATACGAAAGGTGGATTCTTGAGGAGGACATATTGGACTTTGAGTTTGACGGTAGAGGATACCGTCGCCAACTAGTGGTCTGGAGTGTGCAATGCTTCAGATTCGAACGGGAAGCGGAAGTTTATAAGCGGTTGTGATGTATCGGAAAAAATAGTTCTGGGATTTACAAAATGCTAAATAAAACAAGACAGGAACGGTTTTTCTTCACAAAAC